CTGGAATTGAGTCCACACCGTTTGTTGCTGTTATTGTCTCCGTCATATGAGCAAGTGTCGGCTGCATTGAATGGTTCTCCAACTCTGGGACAATGCTTGTGTTTCTCATTGTTTTTGGCACCTTACTAATTTCGGCAGAGTGTATCAGGTGCGCTGGATCAGAGCTACTATGGGAAAACCTAAGACGCTTTGCTGGCCGCTAGATTGGGCTCACAGGGAGTGATTGGGATTCGTGGAAGCTATCCTATCTTCCAGTACTGAGGCTTTAGTGTTTGCCTTTTCCTCAGCAGCCAGTAATAACTTTTCATATCTGTTCGAAATGCTTATTATACGTTTGATAACGGGGTTATTCAAGCAATCCGTACAAAACCCAAAACAATCTGGTTGTGCAGCCATCTGCCTGCTTGCTCGATAGTTTCGCTGACGAAAATCATTTAACATCACTGTTTTCCCCTTGGCATCATAGATTCCAATGGATCAAGAGAATGTGGATCGATCAAAGCATTCCAAAAGTGATCTTCCCAGTCTGTTCTTGTTTTCACCTATCGAAGAACCAGATTTGTTGCTCATCTATCAGGCTCGCCACGCATGCGGGCATGTGCCCACACACGCCACTTCGATTCAACTGTACGGAGCAATCGATTTGACCACTGGTCAACACCTTTCTATCACTTGTGACAATGAACGCTCAGGAATCGTGTTCCAGTCTACCGACTCTCGGTCGTTCGCGATGAGCGTGGCTCGATTACGAGAGCTCATCGCTCGATGTCCCTACAACTCGGCTGCGGCTCGGGATAATATCCGACCGAATTTGGTTCACGAGTTGAATAACATACACATGACATCACGACTAGAGACTCTGAAATTACTCGTCGATCCTCAGGGTGGTTACCAAGTGTACTGGTGACGTTGCCTTCCACAACAATTTTGTTTCTTCTTTTGGGAACTGACACTCCATATTTGTCTTTTCGCAGTTATCCGATTCCAATTGTCCAGACAATGTTCTCTTTCGTGCATTTATCTTCAGTTTATGTGCGACGACAAAATATATCTTACTGGAAAGAGTTTACGATTTTTCCCTTCTGCTGTTGTTTTGTTTCTGTCTGCGATCGTGGAATTGATAATTTTCAAAGCTGGTTTTCTGCGAGCAAGTGAATCAATCGAAGCACTGGCTTGTAGGCAGTTCGCGAACCAATGAGACATCAGCACCATTGACTCACGCACCGAGAGTGGCTAGAAGCACACTGTCAATAATGTCACCCTTATTTTAGCTCCACATCATTGGTTATTTCTATGTTGACCTCGGCCTCTCGACAATCGATGTAACTAGACGAATACTA